TGATAAGCATGAGTTCTAGGCCGCAGCACAGCCGGTATAAACACCAGCATTGACTGAGTGGCCGCGATCAGCTCCGGTGGCCATAACACAGGCTTTAATGCACCGCAGACGCGTGCCGTGATGCGCAGATCAGCTCTAGTCACTAACGTCATTGAATCTGCTGTTGAAAATGATCCTTCCATTCATCATATCATCATGCAAAACTAAGAATTAGAATCATTGTAATGTGACGATCAAATATAGGTGCGGGTGATTGGCGGGAGGATCATTTATTTGAAGCAGCGGACTCGGGTGACGTTTGAGCTCATCTGCGCATCTCTACACTACACTGACCTGGGTCGCCAGTAGCAAACAATGGAGTGCGCTCTGCTGGACAAACTAAGTAATTACACCATTCAGAAGCATTTAATCTGCGTTATATGTTCTGTAAAAAAAAGTTCATATCTCTGCGACAGGCTCATATCGGCCGATAATATCGGCAAAAGGATATATCGGTTTGGCTCTAATTATTACAGTTTAAAGAATAGTTCACCCAAAAATAAAAATTGCCATCATTTACTCACCCTCATGTCGTTCCAAACGTGAATAAGTTTCTTTCTTATGTCGAGCACAAAACAAAGATATTTTGAAGAATTGAAAAACCAAACAGTTGTTAGTTCCCATTGACTTAGTAGGGGAAAAAAATACTATGGAAGTCAGTGGGGACCATCAACTTTCTGAGTACCAGCATTCTTCAAAATATCTTCTTTTATGTTTTACATAAAAAAGAAACTCATACAGGTTTGGAACAACATGAGGGTAAGTAAATGATGACAGCATTTTAATTTTTGAGTGAACTAGCCTATCCCTTTAAAATAACTGTTTTCTATTTTAGCCTATTTTAAAACTGTATTTTTAAAATACAGCAGCCATTTCAGTCATGAGTCACATGATTCTTCAGAAATCATTATATAGTTGTGCTGATTTGGTGCTCAATATAGTAGAATCGTTTATATTGTAAAATATTATTTCAATTTTTAAAATTTTTTTTATTTTAATATATTTTTAACATTCTAAAAGCTCTTTATTCCAAAGATACTACAAGCTAGTCAGTGTATTCAGCAGGTGTAATGTATTCTAAGTTGCTTCAGAAGTATTGCAAGTATTGTGTACGCCAATAAAACATAAAAAAGGAACTTTACTTTTGGTACTTAAGTACTTTTAAAAGCAAGTACTTCTGTACTTTTACTTAAGTAAAAATCTGTCTTTACAACTTTTATTTGTAATGGAGTAATATTTGACCAGCAATATCTGTACTTTCACTCAAGTAATGGAGTTGAGTACTTTGTCCGCCTCTGTGTGTGTGTATATATATATATATATGTGTGTGTATGTGTAGTTATTTAATTGACTAATTTCTGAACTTTAATGACTTATTCATTGACAGAGTTTCCTGCTGTTTTTGGAAATAGTTCTCTTTTTTCAGTTCTTTGTCTCTTAAAATTGATATGTTTGATACATTT